ACATGGGCCTGTGCAGCGCACTTCAGATTCTGTGTCTCCCTCTCTCTCTCTGCCCTTCCCCTGCTCACATTCTCTCTCTCTCTCTCTCTCTCTCTCTCTCTCTCTCTCTGAAATAAACATTAAAAAAAATTTTAAAGAAACACAACAAACTGATCAACATATATTATCTGAAGAAAAGTTATCAGAATGAAATACCAATATAAAATAAGCCTAATGAAGTAGAGAATAAAAGGTATACAAAATGTAAATTAAACACAAGAAATCATAACACCAAAAAAGTGGAAATATTAGATATGACTACATAGTATTTGAAATTTCTGAGATTACTATCCTGATGTGTAGAACTGAAGCAAAAAATAATGAGCTTGAAGGTGAAGTTGAGGAATTTTGCAAGAAAGCAACAGGAACGTTTAAACACATAGAAAAAGTATACGGAAAGCTAAGTAATACAAAAGATTGAAGTAAAAGTCTGAACATTTACATCTTCAACTTCATGAGATGAAAGTAAAAAGGAAAAGGAAAAAAATATGAAGAAGTAATGAAAATAAATTTCCCAGCATCAAAAAAAAGTAAATAACTACACAAAAGAGATTAAAAAAAAAACCTGGACACATACTAAGCTTTTAAAATATCTAAGATAAAGAAAAATTCTAAATCGTTCAGGAGAAAAAGACTAGGTACAGGTTCTCAACAACACTGGACACAAGAATACAATGGGATAACAGGTTAAACCATTAAGGAAAAACTTCACATCATGAATTTTATGCCCATAAATATCGTGACTCAAATGTGAGAACATAAAAATCTTTGTAGGTGTGTATATAGCCTGGGAAGTTTTGCTAGATAAGAGCCCTACCCTGAAAACTATTCAAGAAAAAGTTTGCAAGCAAAACAGAGAAGTAAACCAGAGTATGCTATAAAAGATATGAAAGTTGGGGCCCTGGGTGGGTCAGTCAATTATACATCTGACTCTTGGTTTCGGCTCAGGTCATAATCTCATGGTTTCGGGAGTTTGAGCCCCGCGTTGGGCTCTGTGCTGACAGCTCAGAGCCTAGAGCCTGCTTCGGGTTCTGTGTCTCCTTCTCTCTCTGCCCCTTCCCCACTTGTGCTCTGCCTCTCTCTGTCTCTCCAACATAAACAAATGTTAAAAAAAAATTAAAATAAAGTATTATAAGCAAAAACAGAGGGTTGGGATAATAAGAAATTATTTAATACAGAATAAAAAGAACTCTAAAAAATACAGGAATAGCAGGCCTATGGAGCAGACACTGTGGAGCGCCTATCCATGGGCTGAAATAGCGCACCAAGGAAAAGACAGATCTAAAGTACAGCCAGAGAAGGAATTCCCGGGGTGCCTGGGTGGTTCAGTTGGTTAAGCGTCCTTCCTACTCTTGGTTTCCGCTCAGGTCACAGATCTCACAGTTCGTGAGTTTGAGCCCCGCATCGGACTCTGCACTACTGGTGAGGAGACTGCTTTGGATTCTCTCTCTCTCTCTCTCTCTCTCTCTC